CTTATGTTGCAGATGAGTTGGATTTGAGGTCAAATCCTTTTCAAGAAGGAGGGGATGATATAATCATGGAAGACTCTAACTTAGAGTATAAGCTTGTAGTCGAGGAGGAACAAGAGAAGACTAAGCTTGAAGATAAAGAAGAGGATCTAGAAGTTTTAAAAGGTCCCATGACCCGGTCTAAGACTAAGGCATTTCAAAAAGCCTTAGAGGTTCTACTTAATCAGTCTAAGTATGAATCATATAATGAAAAGGCTAAACTAATCGTGATGGTTTATATTAAAGCCAATGACTAAGCTAATGGGTTTGTGGGATATTTTGTGCTCTTTTTCCCTTAGTGAGTTTTGTCCCATTAGGTTTTCTCACTAAGGTTTTAAACGAGGCAAGTGTTCCCACATTATCATTGCCCATTAAGCTTAGCATTTGTCCAAGCCCACTTCTTTCTACCATCCGCGACTTGGAAGGTCTAGAGTCAGTTTGTACTTGCCATTTTTATGTCTTGTTTCTTTTCTTGGTATGTTTTTGAACTAAAACTTTGCATGGCTCTCGACCCTCTCGACTGAAGCCTAAGGCTTGCCAACCCGTACTCCAGCCGAGAGTTGTGTAGACTTGGACTAAGTCATCTTATCAGCGCAAGACACAAGGTTTTATACTTAGAAAATCCGCTTTTTATTTCAAGAGGCATACACATTACAAAGCGTTTATTTATATTACATAGCGGATACATCCGAGATTTCAAATATTATACAGAAAACCCTTGTAGCAACAACATATTTACTATATTTTACAAAAGGCACCCAAATCTACTCATGCGGTCCTAACGTCTACAACACCCTCTAATCCCAAACGGCTTACTGTGGTTTCCTGCAAGAGAGAAAAGGGGGATGAGTAATCTAAGATTACTTAGTGAGTCCAGGACCCACTAAAAGAAAGAAAATCCTGAAAACTCCAAAGAACCCCTAAGCAACAAGAAATAGCTGAAGCAACATAAAATAAATAGTGCATGCAATCATAGATCTATATGCAAACGCTATACTAAAGAATAAGGGGCCACCACTTCCACACCAAACACACATGCGTGGACACAGAGATCTCTAAGTGGGTTGGCCAGTTCTCCTTCGCGAACACCCTACACTTGGCTATCACAAAGACAAGCCAAGCCAGAATATCACTACTATGAACACCCTGCACTTGGCTATCACAAAGACAAGCCAAGCCGGAACATCGTTTACCTTGGGAGTTCCTCGGTCGGTTCACATCTCGGTGGGGTTTCCATCCGAGAGCCGTCAAGTGAGTTCACATCCCAGGCGGGACAACCATGACTCTTCGCTGGTTTCCCACTATCCCGTTGGATAGTACTCGGCCAGGCTAGCAAGGCCCGTCCACCTCCGAGTCTTCCCATCTAGCAGTACATTCTCTAACCATGGGGAGCGGGGAACCCCGACCACACCGTCACTAAGTCATGAAGGATAACGCGCCACCAACATTACTCCGTAGTATAATGGATCAAAGACAATTATGCTTCACACTGCGTTGATCCACACTTGATCAAACGCCAACACACCTCCACACAACCTCTGAGAAGTTAGTGCCCTAGAGTGACGGCAAAGCCAGAACTTCTCTAGTCTCAACTCTCGTTCACAGTTACAAGCCTCACACGCTTGAACCTCGCTCATGGACGTTTATTATAACTCCACTTACGTGACCTTCCAGCCACGCAACGGGTTTTATCATAAACCGTACACTCGCTCATTCGGTGATGGAACATGCAAGTGGATCTGAGATCCGGCAGTCCTTACACCCTTCTCACCACTCGGAAAGGATGATAACATGTCCCACGGACATGCATCAAACCGTTACCTCACCCAACGGGTTCCGCAGCACTCAGATCTAACATATCCGAGGCTGATCATGCACAAAAACATTAGTATACACTCGGATCTACACTGATCTGAGATTTCCTGCATCACACATTAGTCACACACACACATACAAGCACACAACCTATTCTACCGAGGCTAGTGTCGTGCTACAATGCAGATCCGAGATCCACACTGCATTATGAACAGCAACCGCGATAGTCCACCACTATCGGGACTCACCTCGAACTGAACACGGAACCGGACTAAACTATCAAATGGCCTACCGAGGCTAAGCTTACTACTCTACACGCCTCACACACTCACTCTTTGGTTTCAAAAGGGTTTATGAGTGGGAATGAAAAATGAGGGTGAATGGGGTGGTATTTATAGCCAAAAAATTATCCATGGTAACAACTTAAGGTGTGTAGAATGTGGATCATTCTTCACTCAGATGCAAATCACGTTTTTACCCTCTTAGACTCCTTCTCATAGATTTTAGGCCTGCCAATTCGTTCTTATCCACAAACATAAGGTGGGAGCTTCCCATTGGCCCAAAACTGTACATTTCACCTTTCTTCTGTGCTTTTTACTGCCGAACGACCCAAGTGGAATGTTTATATGATTGTAAACACCTATTTTGTCCTCCAGTATGTAATAATAATGCACCTCTCTCTTGGTTGTCAAAGAATCACCCAATTGTACTGTAGTTTTTGCGATAGTAGACATAACGGACCATGAATCGGGACCAACATGTTTTCTCTTGTTTTCTTCGGGATCTTAGCCATATTCTTTGGTGTATGGAGTCCTCTTAGGCCTATTTAATGTTGTTTATCCTCTCGAGCTGTTTGGTTCTTGACTGAGATGGTTTCTCCCCCAACTGACTCATTCCGCAGCTATTGGCCGTCTATCGGATTGTACGAATTTTGTACGTCTCGGAAGAATTTTTTTGGACTGATTCTTTTTGAATAGTCTCATTTAGGGTCTTGGCTACCTCCATAACTAATCCCACAATTTTTTAAATTTTATCGAGGGGTCATCTTGTTTGAAAACTCCGTTCGGGTCGGATAGCGCTTTGACGAGGTATTACACCATTGGCTACTTTCTTTTTCGGACTACATACCGGTCTACCCTCTCCCCCTCCTTCGAGCACTAATTGTTGGGGATAAAACTGCAGATTGTTTCCAGGGGCTGTGTGATCGTCCGAGTAATGGAGCTGGGTCTCCAAGTTTTGTCCTCTAGGGCGGATGAGTGATATGTGGTCCCAGAGTGGAGGTTTTACTGGGATCTGCATGCACTAGAAATAAGTGAGCCGGATCTCCGAGAGAATTAGAGGGGTGATTTCTTCCTGAAAGTTTTCGCTCAAATTAGATCACGCCCCACTGTGTACAAGTATTCAGGAGGGTAAATTTGATGGTGGTGACATGGTTTGGGTATCCTGTACGAGGATCATGATACCCGTGTGCTGTTTGGTGAAGGTGGATATATGGTAAATGGACCACGGAGAAAGTAAAGTTGGAGCTTTTTTGGTGGAAATAAGATGTAGTAGCTTAAGAAAAGAAAAGAAAGCTTATCTCGGTTGGCGGTTCTTCTGAAAAACATTGACCGTGTCTCTTTCAGTCTTGCGGCTGAGTTTGGTCGGTCGGTAAGTCCGGGTATGGGCAAGATACTCCAATGATTTATTTTCTGAAAGTTTCGCCCTCCTTCATTTACTCTTTTCATTCTTAGGTTTCTTATAGTCTTTTGTTGTTTGACCATCGCCCTTCTTCTTTTTTGGCCTCTCTCCTTTTTTTTTTTTTTTTTTTGCTCTAATCCATCCCATCGATACAATGCATGGTGGGAATAGGTGAAGTATCACAGCACGTTTTTGATTTAGAAAGTTCGCTACCTAATTAAAAATAGTTAATTAAAATCCATTGACAGACTTTAATAGAAAATTCATCATCACAGTTGGATCCTACTAACATATCACTTGTTGATAGAATGAGATGAAAGTGGGTCTAATAGAAATAGTTTGATATTGTAAAAACCGAGCTATACCAAATCATCCCAAACCTCTAGAACATAAATTCTTTAACTTTTGAGCATTAGATTATTCTGTTACATAAATTCTAGAACTTTGAACCTACATCTATAATTATGACCAATCGGATCTATATCGTACGTTGAACACAATCAGTTAGGTAAGCTGTTACGTATGCAAGATATATTATTTTTTTTAATAGAGGAATGCAAGATATATATTCATGAACTATTTCATTGAACTTCTTTGCTGTGAAATTATTTCAAATTATCGATGAATATTAAATCAAAATTAACATGACATGAACTCTTCTTGGTCGAAAGGTCAAAAAAAAAAAAGATTCTTCTTGGTCATTGAAAAAAACATGGACTCTTCTTGGTCGTAGAAAAGAACATGGCAAATACTTTTTGTTTTAAAATAGTTGATAACATTTGTATGTCCCAAGAATTACCTTTGTATGACTCATGTTCGTGTGGGTCACAACACCAGACCTTTTAAAAGCATAGATTTGTACAATGATATATGTCAAAACCTACTACACATAAATATATTACTATTATCTAACGGGTTAGACTGAACCAAGTCGAAGCATCACGATTAGTTTATTTTTCCATCAATTTCCTTTTTTGTTTTTGATAACTGTGGGATGATTTGGAGTTTTATCATCCGACTGGTCCTCCAAAATGAGTGTAGTTTTCGAGCAGTCAACTCATCGATTATTCTAAAGGTCATACCATTTCTATTCGTCAAGTGTAAGTTGATAATTTCACATTCGAAAGAAATTGATCCCTAGTTGATAATTTCACCATCACTTAATATTTTTTTAATCTTTATCAATTCAATTATTAAAAACTTGATTAATTATCAGCGTCATGAAGTCATCAAAAAATAATAATAAATAAATTGAGTTAGGAAGAAGAAGACCTAGTTCTTTATTCATTAAATTTGTATTTATGTGATAATAATGGACGTTGCTGTTGAGTGATGACAAATATGAAAACAAGAAAAAAAAAAAGATACGAGATCTTGTTGGCATCATGCTACCCAAAAAAAAAACAAAATGCTACGAAAGGGATCATCTAAGTAAATTAACGATATAGGTACAAATGAAACTTTGTAATGTTTACTTATTAGTTTCGCTAGAGAATATTATGATATAGCATCCATATCTTTTGTTTAAAGTTCAAAAATGCTTATAGTATAAAGATTACTCAGTCTGCACAACACATATATGTATAGCTTTTGAGCGCCAGCGAAGGAGAAAAAGACAAAATTAACTTGTTCATTTATCATAGTCTAAATTCTAAAGAGATCCACTACATATTATTTGAGAAGTAACATTATTGAAAATAGCTGATTTGTTAACATTAGAACCAAAGTTAGTGCTTTTAATTGATGACATATAAATGTGACATGTCAAACTTCTTAAAATAAATAAAATATTTTGATTGGTTGAATTAAAATTATAGAAATTATGGAATAAAAATATAAATAAACTAGATTATATTTATGACACTAAAATTAACAAATTTAAATTAACAGAAAATAAAAGTTATCATAATTTCAATTTTGTACATATCTTCATAATTTCATAAAATATAATTACGAAATATTTTCAATAATATATATATATATATAATTTCATATAAAACAAAAAAATAACATTAAATTATCTAATAGAACAGTAAAAATTCTATTTATTAATAATTCTACTTATGTTACCATCTCATCTTATCTCTTATCATATTTTAAATAAAAATAAATTTTATATCATATGTATATATATACATAAATTTATTTTTATTGTATATCAAAATTTCGAGAACATAAATAAAATATAAAATAACGGAACGAAAGAATAAATTATAATAAGATGAAACAATATGAATTATAAATAAAAATAGAAGTATGTAAAAATAAATCTCTCGCACTTTGTTTTACAAAGTCATTTAAAAACTTTTTAACACCTAAGAACCATATTTCAATTTTTTTACAAATATATGTACAGACATAAATATTAATTGTATATTAGTTGAAGTCACATGCAAACTTTTCCGTGCATGTATTTTGTTAAGATTGATTACAGACTAACTTTTATTTTAATTATTATGCAATTTATATTTTTTTAAAAATATTTATCTATTCTAAGTGTAGTGAAGTGGTTGGTATATCAGCACATGCGTGCCAACCATCTATCCGCTCTTAAGAATAAGTAAAAATAGTAAAAACTATTTCAGTTTAATTTATAATAAATCAAGAAAAATATTTACTTAAAGTATATTATATATGAATTTGCAAATTCATATTTTGTAAGACACAAAAAGAATATTTTAGATTGTGTAAGGAGAAATAAAGCATACTATAGAAGTATTCAAAAAATATTATAAAATTTTAATTATTATTTAACATAACTTTTATATTTTTGATTATATATTATTATAAGCATTATAAAAATAAATTTTTTAAAATACATTGGTTTCAGAAAGAAGTTTGTGAAATATGAAAATAATATATATACAAACATATCAATGTTTAAAAAAACTAATAAATATTTAAATAATACAATTAACTATGTATATAAAAAAAATTATACCTGCACATATGTGCGGGCAACCACCTAGTTGATTATATTTGCCTATAAGTAAGTTTTTGGTTAATCAATATATATACACACAGTCTTATTTCTATATATACATGTATATATACAGCCCATCTATATATATGTAGACACGTATGTGTATAAATATTAGAGCAGTGACGAACACATTATATCAGGTCCGCCACGAAAATAGCACACATATCAATCTTGGAAACATGAGAGAGGATAATAGCGGTTTGAAAACGCGCGTTCTGGTGGTTGGCGGGACGGGGTCGTTAGGGAGGAGGATCGTAACGGCGTGTTTGGCTGAGGGACACGAGACCTACGTTCTGCAGCGGCCAGAGATCGGAGTGGACCTCGAGAAGGTGCAGCTCCTTCACTCTTTCAAAAGACTCGGCGCACGTCTAGTCGAAGCATCGTTCACTGACCACCAGAGCCTTGTCTCCTCCGTGAAACAAGTCGACGTTGTTGTCTCCGCCATGTCCGGTGTTCATTTTCGTAGCCACAATATCCTCGTTCAGCTCAAGCTCGTCGAAGCCATCAAAGAGGCCGGTAACATCAAGGTACCCGCACATATATATCATTATATCAATTTGATGAAATATGCTTTAGATGTAGATTACTTAAAGTTGGCTCAAAACTGGCAAAAACATGGGTGACAAAACCGTAACTATAAAAGAGTTTTTTTTTGTAGTTGATTATTCTAAAATTGCCTGTACCATGTATAAATTGCATGCCAACTTAAAAAAACAGCCTGTTAAAAACAAAAATAGCATGTTGCTTAAAAACATATCATAAAGATTTGGAAAATGACCACATAAATTTCCACCCAGTTTAAAGTTTTTTATAAATAAAACATTGTTCATAGTCATTTTTGCCAATTATAACCGAAGATTTTTAGTCATCTACTGCATATTTTCTATCGGTGATATTTCAATTGTAGTAGAGTTTAAATAATGTATTATGTATCCGTCTCTTAGTTGTTAGTTGTTACCTTTTGGAACGGTTAACATCAGATTTTGAAGCAATATTAAAATACCGTATAAGTATAAAGGTTTGTTACTTTGACAAATATATCAACATAAATTAATGGCATCTGTTTAAGAAACTATTATCTTTGGTGAATGCACTTGTCTGCCTGACAGGCTGACATATACCAAGACAAATTAATAGTAACAGTTTAAGAAAATATTATCTAGGTGTATGCATTTGTCTGCATTACATGTGCATCTTTTAAAAAATGACTTTTATATCTCGGCTACATTTGGTTAACGGTCGCAATTGAATTGACTTACATAAAAAAATTTAATCATTTTCTTAGAAAACTAAGAAAATATAAGATCCGTTCATAGCTTTGGAATATAAATTTATAATACGGAGTCGTGCTTTTTGCATACAAATACTATAGTTTTAATAAGGTTATAGACACATTACTGTTCAAATATCATACATGTAAACGTTTTCTTTAAGTAATTAAAAAATTCAGATGTTAAAACGAAACAAAGTTTTACCACATTTTTGACATCTTCTGAGATATATTTGTGTCGATAGCACCTTTTTCTGGACATACTGTGAATAGCAATTTTATAGCTAGTTGTGTACGTACGTAGGAAATTTGGTAACATATCGGTGTGTGTGTGCATGTACAATATGGCTCATAAATATTGGGTTGTGTACATATACTAAAACTTATAAATATTTTTCAATGAACTATTTATAAAGTATTAACAAAGTTCATACATTTCAGCGCTTTTTACCATCAGAATTTGGAATGGATCCGCCACGTATGGGACATGCGATTCCACCAGGAAGAGAAACGTTCGATCAAAAAATGGAAGTACGAAATGCAATTGAGATGGCCGGAATCCCCCATACATATATCGTTGGCGCTTGTTTTGCCGCATACTTTGTCGGAAATTTATCTCAAATGGGAACTTTGATCCCTCCAAAGAAAAAGGTCAATATTTATGGAGACGGAAATGTAAAAGGTAAAACTCTAATGGAAGACTCTTTTCAAATTTTATTTTTTCATTTGGATCCATTACAATTCATAACAATGAATTAGCCACTTTATATTCTTAAGAAAATATTTTGAATCTTTTTTGTTCCCATTTTTTTTTATGACAGTGGTGTTCGCAGATGAAAATGACATTGCAAAATATACTGCAAAGACGCTTAACGATCCTCGGACGATAAATAAAACTGTGTATCTTAGACCAGCCGATAACATTCTCACACAAATGGAGTTGGTTAAGATATGGGAAAAGTTAACCGGAAAAGAATTGGAGAAAACCAATATTTTTGCAAATGACTTTCTTGCCGACATTGAAGGTAAGTCTCGATCATTCATATATATAGTAACAAAGCAAACGTTTTGGATTATATTTCTTTTCCGCCTCCCGTAAAATAGAGCATTGGATTAATTCATTTAAGGTATTTCCAGGTTTAGTTTAAAACACAATGTAAAGGTTGGACGAATTTTGACGCATATCTTGGGGCAAACAATTTCATTAACTTTAAATCTAAATTAGAAAGTTAGCATACATAATTTTTGGAATAGAAATTACTGCATAAATATATATGAGTACGATACAGAAAAATAAGTGGATCTAGTGATATGTTTTAGTCAAGTCTTAGTTGTTAACAAAATAGTAAATCTGTTATTTTTTTTTCTTCTGGGTTTAAGAGTATTACTTTAATGCAAATTATGTAATTAGATAGCATTTCTTGGATCTGAGCCTTCCAATTTCATACCACGTGATTAAACATGATGTTCCCGGCATACGAAATGACCCATTTTCTCTAAATCAAACTTACAATTGAAAAATGATAAAACCGAAAAAGCATGTAAAATTTTTAGTTTGTTAAATTAACGTTAAAATGTTTAAATATACGTATGCAGATGAAAATAAAGGCATACCACACAAAGCAGGATTAGGACACTTCTATCACATATTCTATGAAGGTTGTCTCACAGATCATGAAGTTGGAGACGATGAAGAAGCTTCAAGACTTTACCCGGATGTGAAGTACACTCGTATGGATGAATATTTGAAAATATTCGTCTAGTTTGGTCGACTCAAAAGACATACAAATCAAACACATCACCATTATTAAGTTTTCTTTCTTATTTCTCATGCTTTTTGTTTACTGTGTTAATTTAAAATTGTAAGATGTAATAATGTTTTTGCAAATGACTATCTTGCCGATATTGAAGGTATTTGTTTAACTTGAAGATTTTCCCTGATAATTTCACAAATTGAAGAAATTTTGAGATAAAAACGATTTTACCACTAAGTATTATTAATTTAATTGGAAAATATCTTAGGCAAAATGTGAAAGTCATAAGATCGATTGATGAAGGGAAAAAAAAACTAATACTACATAGTATAGTTTTGAACTTGAAAAAATCGGGATTCAGCTCAGAACATTAATATAATCCAAAAGTTAAAAAAACGATTATATTTAAGGGTTTATTGGCAAAATATCTTAATTAAAATTTGAAATTTGAAAAGTACACTAGTTTTTGTTTTTGGAAAATTACACTTATTGATATATAAAAATTCTATTTTGACCAGATATAAACAACAGATTACATATTTTTATTGTAAATAAAAACTAAAATCCACAATTATTAATATTATAATTTTGGATTTGAAATCACGAACGTATTCTTTTAACTTTACTTTTTTTCTTTAGTAGTCTATTTCTTATGTTGGATTTGCCTTGTACTTATTGTTTTTTTCTAAGAATTTTTTTTCATTTCGTTTTCTATTTTATAGACTTGTAGTAATTCTTTTATTTCTTATACTTTTAGAATTTAACACATGAATCACATTGTGATTTTTTAATTCATGTGTGTTGGTTTGATCGTGTTTTAGATTTTGGCAAAAGACTAGATGTGATCTTTTTGTTGGGGAAAAATAGAGAAATGATCTAGGCCAGAGATCGATTCCCCTCAAGTGTGGAATTAATAATAATTTCTATTTAGTCATATGAATATGAACTCTTGCTTTCGGCCCATTTGACTGCACATTCTCAGAGATTAGTTTGAGCTCCTCCATGGGTCTGAGATTCCCTGAGTTATCAAAAAAAAAGGGAAAGCGTGAACAAAGTTAGAGTATTGGTCAAGAAATAGTGTTGAATTTTGAAAATCCCAGAAAAATAAATATCACATCTTGCAATAATGAAAAAACTTTTGAATAATCAGAAGAAGATAGGTTCGTAATATTTGTAGAAGACAAAAAGTTCTTAATTTTTTTTATGAAAAAAGATAATAAAAATATATTTTTTAAAAATATTCTTTAAATTACATGAATATAGAACTAAAAATAAAAGGAAATCAAATTAGATATCATTCAGTTTTAACATGTTTATTTTGTTTTCATTAAATGAAAATAAAACTATTATGAACTCTTAATTTGATAATTTCACATATAATTAAATTTAACTAAAAAAGTGTAGGTTCAAATTCCAATCTTGTTGAGGTATTTTGCCCAATTTCCTCTATTATTATTGTTTATGTACCATAAAAAACTGACAAGTATTCAAGTCTATTAGAAAGTTAAAAAGCTCATAACGAATCTACTATATGGAGCCCATCAAATTTAAGATCACAATTGCATTTATCTACAACTGTAGTCAACTATACAATTAAACATGATCAATAACAACAACTGCAATCAACCCCACTCTGATTCTGTTTTGGGTTTTCGTAAGGATTCAGGATTTCAGAATTGTTTATTACAATGATTTATTGGTTTTAGGTAAAATTGTGATTCAATTCAAAAATGGTGATTTTGGTAGATATTCAATAAAGAATATAGCTATATAAAATGTGAAATTTAGAAAGTAACCATCAAATACAATACAATAATGAAAATGATATTCACTTCATTGAGCGGGAAACTCGCGCCTTCCGACTTGACATAACGTTTATAGAGCGTAGCCTTTACACCAAAGCCCTCACATTTCACTAACCTAACCATGTGAGATTATTAACTTCCGATTCATGACAGCTTAACCCTAAATTATGTGGCTCACAATCATTCACCTGAATAATAAAAGCTGATTCTTTATAAATAACCTGTGTATACTGTATTTGTCTAGTAGAATCATCAAAGCAAGGTAGTTGCAAAGTAAATACAGAGTCGGCAAATAGAGTGGTAAGTTCGTTTATTAAATCAATATCGGTGCTTTTATGTGATGGTACTATGAATGTATTCTAATAGAAAAATATCTAAGTGTTTTCGAGAAGATAAGTAGACTATATATTACCGTACCAAACTCCATCTATACTATAGTAGATACTAATTTGAGTGAGACATTTTTATCAGATGGAAGATCAGGACACGGTCGATGTTGTAGCTGGGAATTGGATCCGAGATTCTCATGGGAAATGGGTATTTGAATCATTACCATCGATTGGAACGACTTTCATACAGTTAAATACCAGGATGAGTCATTCGGAGCTGGTGAACGAAAGTGAAAGAGAAGCTAAACTTGACGGCATCGAACATCTCCTTCAAACTCTCTTACTAGTACCCTAGTTGGTTGGAGATTGATGAGGGGATGCATGTGATCCGCTATACATAACCGACGATTAAGAAGTAGCTGTCTTTGTTGAAATGAGGCGAACTATTGAGCAAGTAAATCTATGCGTTACATCAAGCCGATTAGTTCACAGAGTGCAAATGGCAATGGGAGAACACACCCTCAAATTACAACTGGTACTGCAGTGGAACGAGTTGCTGTAGAAGGCGATTCAGAGCATGACGAGCACTGGCATGACTTTGCCATGTCCGAAACACCTATGACACTCCCGATCACCTGGACACCTGCAGTTAAAGCCAATGATAAAAGGCCCCAGAATACTATACTACGAAAAGCAACGGGTATCAATATCAGAGAGGGTGATTGATCAACTCGGCCTATAAGCCATCTTACGACTTCCGTTTCGAAGAAAGGTAAGGCCCCTGCTTCGCTAAAGGATACCGCTTCCGACAGCGACGAAGCTATAAACACACAAATGACACCAACAGAGAAAAGGTCTCTAGTGCCCATTAGGAGGAGGCTATTCCACAACTCGGATGGAGAAGAGGAGTCAGACTCTTACTCAGGGGAGGACGAAACAGAGGAGAATGTGGATGGTGAAGGGACGTCGACATTAACCACCTATGGGAAGTTTAAGGAGTCCCTACACGCAATGCTGACAGACAACGGTAACGATCCGGTGTTGTTCGCTAGAGATGCACCTCCTGTCTTTGATATGGGTGAGACTGATGGTAATTTATCCTAACTCACTCCATCGTTGGAAATTTACTAAACATGTAACTAGTTCTGTATATACTATATATATATCTGAAACTATATTATATGGAAGACGTAGTATGGTAAGGTCTTCTGCAATCTCATATGAATATGTATGCCAATGTAAGGGATAATAACGCTATGGCTGATGTCGACTACGAAGGTGACAACTTATTTGTCGGAAGAGTCTTCAAAAGTAAGGTCGATTGCAAAATGAAAATAGCTATTCGCGCTATTAAGTGAAAATTTCACTTCCCCACCACAAGATCAACACCTGCGTTCATGGTGATGAGATGTATCGATCAGATTTGCCCCTGGAGAGTATATGCAGTGAAGTTGGATAACTCTGGCAATTTCCAGATAAGGTCGGCAGTACTAACCCACATTTGTACCATCGACGCGAGGCGCAACTACCACAAACTGGCAATTACGCAAGTGATAGGAGAAATAATGCAAAGACAGTTCGTCAGAGCAAAAAGAGGACCTTCCCCAGCTGGTGTTCAAAAGATTATGCTCGATGCTTTTCATGTCAATATCTCCTACTGGAAAGTGTGGCGGTCCAGGGAGCTCGCAATGGAGAATTTGTACGATTATATGGCTGGGAGTTATGCACTAATGCCGACGTATCTCGTTTTACTCAAAGCTTCCAATCCAGGTAGTATTTGCTATCTTGAAATACAGGAAAACCCACAAGGAGGGTCGAGGTTCAAGTACTCTTTCACTACATTCGGGGCTTCCGTCCAAGGATGGCCTTACATGCAGAAAGTCATTGTCATCGACGGGACCAGCCTGAAGGGATGCTATGTTGGATGCCTTGTATCTAAATCAGCGCAGGATGCAAACTTCCAGATATTCTCACTGGCATATGGGGTAGTTGATAATGAAAACGATGATGCGTGGGAGTGGTTTTTCAGGAAATTAAGTACTTTCATAGCTGATTCTACCGACCTTGTCTTCGTATCTGACAGGCATGCAAGCATATTTGCCGGATTAGAAACTGTAAGTACCATGCGATTCAGTACTGTGCGATATATTCTAGAACATTGAGGATACTATGTTATATATTATACTTTGATATATATTATACAGCACTTAGGTAAGTGAAAATTGGTTATGCAGGTTTACCCTCTCGCTCATCATGCCACGTGTGCGGTGCATCTATTGCGTAATGTTCGTGCTTCTTACCAACCCAAGCGGCTGGCAAATATCGTGAAAGATGCTGCTCGTGCATACACAATGAATGAGTTCAATAAGAAATTCATTGAAATTCAAGGATTGAACCCTGGATGTGCATCTTATCTTGTTGACATTAGTGAGTGTAAATACAAAATCAAGTTTCGAAAAACATGTTTGCGAAACTTTAGTGTCTACAATTTCTTTGCTACACTAATTATCTGCACTCGTACAGGATTCGACCATTGGACCATAGCTCATTTCAAAGGCCAGTGGTACAACATAATGTATAGTAACATCGCGGAGTCCTAGAATACGATTTTTAAAGAGGCCAGAGAATATTCTCTAATCTGCATGCTCGAGTACATAAGGACTTCTGTAATGTCTTAGCTTGCAATGAGACGTACATAAGAATTAAAGCTATGTTTTCTCAACTATACTTTATCAGATCATAAAATAGTATATAACATTTACATGCTTATTCTTGCCAGAAAGGGATGAAAGGACCCAGAAGATGTACTCGTTGTCGCCGGCAAAGGCACAACAAGGCATCTTGTCGCAACCCTATATAAAATGCTTTTTAAGAGTGGGCGTATGAAGGTGGTCATAGGAGCAGTTTTTTGGAGGATCGGGCTAATAAGGAATTATGGAAGGGGTGTAGAAAGGAAATACCATTAGCTACGTCTATTTTTTGTACCGTGGACTAAATAGAATGGTATATGCAGAAATTATAGTATACCAATGTATTTAGTATCACTTCTTTACTTTGTAAATACACACCAGATGGCCATGTACATAGTATAGCCCAGAAAACCTTC